CAGGAATTGAATAATTCAATTGGTATTCAATCAATACAAATTGAATAAATGGATTTTTCTGATTCTGAAATTTCTGATTCTGATTTTTTGTGATTCTGAAACAAAAAATTAAGCATAGAAAACAAGTATTTTGGTCTGATTTATTCATTCCTCAATAAAATATTTTTCTGTATTCAACAAAACTCCAAAAATTTATTTTTTTATGGATTATTGCAAATTTGGAAAATGATTCACTGTGAAAGATTAGCAGGACACAAAGACTACATATCAGTATTGCTTCAGAATCTGTGCTCTATTTTACTCTCAGCAGAAAATATCCAAACCTTGATAATTTCATAAAGCTAAGACAGTGGTCTTTAATTTAATTTAATGCAAAAAGAAAAGACTGTATAAACCTAGCTACAATCTACTCTGTAACTTGTCACTGTGTGCATGTGTTGAAAAAACCATGGATTGTTTACTGCAGCCCTCATTCAGAAACGTTTGAATGCATCCAGAGCAGTAGGCTGATGCTAATGAGATGGTTACAAGAAATAATTTGGAGTGCTACCAGCCAAGTAGGCTGTGGTGAAGGTGCAGCCTTGGGATAAGTCTAAGTGTAATACAGTGATAATCTATCCAAGGTGGATCACAGTCAAAGAACCTTTAATGTCTAAATACTGAGGGCAAAGCATTGTGAGTAAATCCTAGTATGGCTGTCCCAGAACCTCTGAAAAACAATCACTTTCAATGCTGATTTATTATTTTTTTTTTTTTTGTGAACATGTGCGATGATTTTTGTCTGTTTAAAACAAAAAAGGATGAGTAAGCCACATAGCTCCAAATGTAGCAGCTTTCTAATGTTAACTCTTGTTATTTATAGTAACGTACAATCTATATTAACATTTTCCATAGCTGCTTTCGGTTGAGCTCAGGTGCCATGTGGATTTTAAATCAGATGTTTAGATGTACAGCATAAAAGGCCTCATAGCAGACATAAAATCTCACTAAAGCACTTGATTATTTTTACATTTCCTTATTAGCTGACAGAACTTACTTTTAAACTCTTTTGATTTGGATCAAACATTTTGGTTATCCCTCAGCAAATTTTCACATTACTGTGTTGGATTTTTAGCCCATTCCGCTTGACAGAACTGGTTTAATCAAATAGAGCTTGAAGGATGCCTTGCCTGCACACACAGTTTTAGTTCTGACCACAACATTTTTTATTGGAATAAGACCAGAGTTTTGGTGCCATCTTTTCAACTCAGAGATCAGATTTTCCAAATTCCTCTTCAGAAATCCAACAAGTAAATCCCATAAAGTTGGAAACTGGAATGGGAAAGTCAGAGCTAGCCAAGCCGTCTCAAGGTTTGTTTCAAATATGACTGCTCTTATATAAAATCTGAGGGAAGTAACTGATATGAATAATTGGTCTGATAGGTTGTGTCTCATTAAGACCGTCCTCTAGTTTTATTTCACTGTTGCTTGAGTAAATCGTGGGTAGAATTTGACAAAGAGGATATTTCTGGAATGTGTTAGGTCTCTCCTTATAGCAGATTTCTTAGAGTCAAAGCCCTCTGAGGAACAGCTAAAAGTGAGTTTAGAAGTGTCAGCTGCTTTTGGACATTTCTACATAAATTTCTTCCCCAATACTGAAGTTTGGGGCATAAGAAGTTAAGCCACTTCAAACTTATATAACAGTAGTATCATTGTCAATTCAGAGCAGCTGTCCCCAACCTTTTTTGCACCACGGACCGCTATATCTCATACAATATTTTCAAGGACCGGCTGGGGGGGGCGGATCAAGTAAAATGATACGACTGGCATAAAATCAAATACAAACAGCATAAAAATAAAAATACAAGCCGGTCCCATCTAGGCGTAATCAAAGTCAATGACACATGAAGAGTGCTCCTGATGTCCAGTCTGCTCCGTAGCTTTGTTTTGGTCGCTGTAACCGCTTCACAAAGATAGGATGTTATAGATAGGATGCGTCTTGAACTGAATTAACCTGTGTCAAGAGGCACAGATGCACCGACTGATGTAATTGGGAGAGAATACCGCAATTTTTTTTTATATTTTTCAAAATAAAAAATCACTCAGACTCTGTTTAGAGTACCCATTTTTATTCAGCTTTTAATACAAATGTCCTGAAAGATTCTTGCAATATTCCAACACTAGGTGCCTTTCTTTTCTGTTTTTTGACGAGCACCCGTCCCTATTACAGTGCTTTGCTGTAATGGGGACGGGTTCTTTCTGAATTGGGATGGTTTTCAAATTCAACATAATTATGAAGAAACAGCTTAATAACTTAGGTTCTTGAAACCTCAGAGGCATGAGTTATAAAATGTTATCTCTGTCTTTGACAGCAGCTGGGAACTGTAATGCTCTTTCTAGATAATATCAGTTTGGACGAATGTTTTTTTTCCTAGCTGAGTGGCCTTTCTGTTTTTGTCTTCAGGATTGTTTTCTGTGAATAAAGACGCCGCTTTGTAAATCATCTCAGAAGGCCAGCATTGTGTTTACCTTTACTATTTTTTTAAGGTAAACTTTAGCAAAGGCTTGGGAGGAAAGTTTATATAAAGTATTGTTAGTTTCTTTTTTTAAATTGCTTTCACTGGCAGAAACTTCTACAGAGAGAAAATACGTTAACTGAGGTATTACTGAACAACAAGAGCAAAAGAATGCATTTGAAGAGGAACGTTTTTTTTTTTTTTTTGGCAAGACTTATAGGTTTGGGGTAAACCATGGTAGAAATTCTTTGTAAATCATTGTTATGTCTTTAAAAGCTTACATATCATAAAGGGGAGAGTTATAATAAAAAAGTATTTTAAAAGAATAGAATTAGGTTACTCTCAACAGTGGCTCAAAGAACAAGTGAGTGAATGAATTAAATAATTATATTTCCTTACAAAAAGAACAATGTTATCCTTTCTTATTCTATTTATACCTCTTCATGTGAGATATCATGCTGAAAACCTGCAGTCAGGAGAAATGAACTTCTATTTCTCATGGCAGGTTTGAAAATCTTGTATCAGCTGTAGTTAAGCCAAAATTCCCAGGTGCAGCTGCTGCATGTACAGTGCAGGAGAGCGTGTGTTTAAGTGAACTCGTGTCGTCGTGTGTCTGTGTGCTTTGTGCGGCTGCAGCCACAGCACTTTTATCAGTGAGGGTCAATTTGTCTCACTGTGTCAGAACAAGAGGATTTAAAAGTTAATTTCTGCTGCCAGCTCTGAAAGATCATCAGCATAACAACAGCACAAAACTTACTTTGCAGATATTTATCTCTTATGTGAACCTGTAGAAGGTATCTACAGAGGTGCTGTGTGGTTCTTGAAGAATGTCCAATGCAAACAGATGTGAGAATGCATAGGTGGCCTTAATGAGGCTTTTGAAAGTGCCATTACATGGAGCTGCTGTGAGATGAGAGTTTTTCTGGTAGCCACAGATTGAAATACCTTAAAGACCATTCTGATATGTCATCAAAAATAGAGGAACAATGTCAGCAATGTCTATACCATACCATACCAACTTTATTTATGAAGCACTTTATACACCGGACAGGACCAAAGTGCTGTACACAATTATAAAATACAATGCAATTATAAAATAGAAAAGATCGAGTACAAAATACATATTAGTATACAAACAGAATAAAACAAAGTGAAACCTCTCAAATTGTGCCAAAAGACAGATGAGTCTTAAGAAGGAACTTAAAAATAGCAAAAATGCTGCTTCATAAAAACCTTCATGACAGGGACATACTAGGACAAAAATGGAGGAATTTGATATCATTCTAGGACACCACCTCCTGATTAACGAAGACCACCATAACTTGAGCTCACTTTCTATTCCACCTGTCGTGTAATTCTAACAAGGCTTCACCCTCTATACCTGTGGTTCCAAAACCTGCTCCCCCCTTTCCTGCCTGTTTTATGTTGGTATCTTCCTGCTGACACGTACCTGTTTTATATGAATGAGTTATGAACAGGCGTCTGCAGTAGTTGGTGGAAACTGAGGAGGGCTTTCAACCACTGAAATCAGGTGCACTGCAACAGGGGGATAACCTTCCCTATGCTATCACTTTGTTAAACTTTAAACAACCCTCCGGCAACACACAAGATTAATTCCCTTCTTCACCACCCAGTGTTGAAGTAATTACTGGCTCTATAACAAGATTTAACACTCTTGTCTGAGTTTTTAACAAAATTCATAATGTGCAAGTTGGCAGACTCTCCGAGTTGAAATCCATTTTAGAGGCGTGTAGCTCTGGAATAACGCTCGGTAATGATCACCTCTATTTTGTTGGTGGAGGTGGGTCCAATGTTACTTGCTCACTTTGCAGTTGTTCAGTGGACCAATCCCCATCTAGTTTTTGAGTACCTTCAAATTCTCAAACAAAACTAAACAAATAAATGAAAAACACAATATGATGTGATTGTAACATGTAAAGGGCTGGTTATACTCCCCGCAGCAGTGTATCGCAGTGAGCTTGTTGCAGATATTTTTGATTTATGCCCAATTCTGAAGCGCTGTCTTTGCTATGTAATTCCACGCCACAACGCAAAAGGGACAATTATCAACTAGCTGTGAGTCTAGGATCCAGGTGGAAAAATTGTCCCGGTGTTCTCGCGCACATCGCTTTTCTAGCTGGTCCAACTTCACGAGTCATTTTCCGCAATGGCGGTCATACAAACAAAA